GGGGACATTATGGAGATATCGAGGTAGACAAAGGTCGTTTCTCAATTCACAAGAACGTGAGTACGGACTTGTGTCCTCGCCAAGTATGTTCTTGATAAGAACACAGGAAAGTATGGACTTCGGAAGAACAGTAGCGTGCAGCATCAACATGGGTCAATTGGAACAGAAGCGTACCGGTGACATCACCACACGCTTGGCTCTTCAGGAGCTGCATTTCACCTCCTGTTATTAATAGTCGCTAGATAATAATAAATTCTTACTTCTTTCATATAGTGGGGGAATAGTAATGAACACAGTCAGATAAACACAAATCAAATTAACATTTTGATAAACAAAATTTCAAAAGAAAATTGCCATCAGAGCCAGCGGTCCTTCCCACACGGCCAGGCTGAGAAAGACCTGCTGCAGTTGGGCTAAGGTTAGCTCTGGCTGTGGTTAGCCTCCGAGGTTGGCTGGTTGCCGCGGTCCTCTCAACATCTGAACTTTTTTTGAATTACACACTAAATCAGTAAATGGGCCATATAGTGACGCTTTAAGTTGATCTTAAAACGTACTTTTATAGAAAAACAGAAAAGAGAACTTTTAACTTAATACTGTGAGCTCTGTGAATGCTCTCCTGTAAGCTTCTGCTGCTGCAGTGCATGCTGGGACAGCTGTCAAGAAAGGACAAGTCTGCTCTGATGCATGCTGGGTAAAGAGGGAGGGGTGAGAACAACATCCAGGGAATTTGTCCGTTCTCAGTCTGCTGTTCTTCTGAATTGGAACAATACTAGAGCAGAGGCTGGTGACGTTTCACGAGCACACGACAACGCACAAGTACGAGTAGTGAGAAACAGCCAAAGTAAAGAGTCGGGGACATGTGGATTAGTTTCTGTATCGCAGAGCCATGTTTTCCTGACAATCCAGCCCTGGTGATGAAGAGCTAATCCTCCTTCCTTTATTACCACAGCCGTCTGAATCTGTGACTTTTTATTAGTTTTAATGTATTCTTAATAAGTCAAAGCACATATGTTATGTGCTTTGGGCACAATTATTTTTAATTTGTTTTTTCTATATAGTTAAATATTGACTTTTAGTTCAATTAATGTTTTGGAATTACTTTTTTCCCCCCGGTTAATTAGTGGTTGTTGGACTGCCTACAAAAGGGCTGGGTTTTGATCTTGGAGGACGTCCTTTGCTCGCTCATTCATCTCCACCACGGAGAAGGCGCACCTGTCTCCAGCTGCTGTAGGCCGCAGCCGACACCTCCAACCTGCCATGCGGTATTTTTGTTAGCTTTGCTTGGAAGCTGTTTTCATTTTGATTTCGGCCTGGTGGGACCGGTTGTCCTGTTTTCGATTCTTTATTTTGCTTTTTGGGTTTATTTTTGTACCAGTAGGGGCTTCGACGGCCCTGTATAGGGGTGGCCCCACTGCTGTACTGTTTTTTTGTTTTTGATCAGCTCACCAGGTCCAACTTTCTGTTAATACTTTGTTTAGTTCTTTTTTACTTTCTTTTGGACACAGAAGCTGAGGATATTTAATTCTGTTTTTTCTCTTTTTTTTTCTCTACAGAACATCCCCACAGCTGTCTTGAGAAAGAGGATTTTTTTTTAAAGAGAGTGAACTACAGAATAGATAAATTTGTTTGTACCCTTAGGTTTTGTCTGTGTCCTCAAATATGTTGTGCCCTTGTGGACGTAACAACATAACACACAGAATCTTTGTAAAATAATTTAATACAGTTTTTATTTATTTTTTTTTTTTTAACCTCAGATAAACATTTTTTTTTGTTGAGTAAATCTTTAAGAAATCTCCGATTATGTTTTTTTGACACTCTTTTAAGTATAGAGGTAAATAGTTTCAGACTATATTCATAAGTACTTTACATGTTTTGATTTTCTCTGAATAAATGCCGAGCACTTTAATTTCAGTATCAATCAAGAAATCCTATTAATAGCTCATCTGAGCCTCCAACAGAGGGGGGCCTATTTCTCTTTTCATTGGAAAGAAAACTTAATTTCCTTTATGTCGCCCTATGACGGGTTGGCGCCCCGGGTGGTGAGCCATATTACCCATATGATCAAGAGAATGTGGTGAGCGATGGAAAATAAGTATTGGAGAGTCTAGCAGCCTCTGACCTGTGCTGCACAGTGGCTATGAAATGAGAAAGAGTTGTTTTAATTCATTCTTTTGAATGTTTATTTTTATCAGTTACAGAACTGACATCCTAATGCTGAATATGTGATGATGTAGAGTTTAGCATACCAATGTTAGCTGATTAATGGATGATACCTACTGTGGTTCTGCTTTGGTTTTAAAGAAAACATCATGGATGCAAATATTAAGAAAACAAAGCAAGTTGATTTTTCTGCCTCTTCTTTTTTCATAGATTCTAGTTTGTTTTTCCTGTACACAAAGTTTGCAAACCCAGAGTCGACCTACAATCGTCTGTATCTAATCTTTTAGTTAAATGAAGAGTTGTTTTGAAGAAGCTGGACCAAATGTTCTCAATGATTGCATTGAAGATGTGATGTAACGACCAGCTGATGGCAGCAGACGAGCAAAGGTTCTCTGTAAATCACAGCCTTCACTTTCGTGCAGTTTTCAATGTTTGCCTCGTAAACATAGCAGTTTTGATCAGCTGCCATACCACTGTGTCGATCAAGGTTCTGTCATTTTCTGTAGTTTTCTGACCCACCTGCAGAACGTAATGATGTTAGATAGACTCTGAATTGTGCGGCGTTCTTTAACGTCTGGAAGGGAGAAGAGTTAGTGGAGAAGGCTTCAGCAGGCAGAGTATATTTATTAATAGTGAGCAGGGAGCTGGGCTTAGGGCAAATGGAGACAATGAGGGAGGAGCGGAGAGCCTGCTGGTTGTTTGAGGAGAGTAATTGCAGACAGGTGTGCTGTGGGCCACGCCCTCCATCCTGGATCCTCTGATCTGATGGAGAACAACAACTCAGTCAAATACGCCAGGATTCCCTCGAACATCTAAAAACTAGGATCTGTACTAAGTGAAGGCTGAATCGAGCACCAAAGAGCATGTTTACACAAAACCCCAGGTTTATACCATCCAGTTCAACTGGAAGGCAGATCACACATGAAATGTTCACATTTTTTTGAATTAGCAAAGTCAAGATTGTTATTTCAATCCTGACTGCCAGCACAAATCTAGCTGCCATCACTGCTAAATACCTGCAGGTTGATAAAGACAGGAATTCCTGATCAGTCTGAAAAAATAGTATGGGATGTGATTTTATTTGATAAAAAAAGAAAGGTATAAAACTTCATTATTTGATAAAACCAGAAGTCACAGAGTTCATATGCTGTTGGACTGTACCACTTTATCCCTTTGCTGAAATCTGTTCTCCATCCATTGATCCATCCATCCATCCATTATCCATCCATCCATTCATCCATCCATCCATCCATTCATCCATCCATCCATCCATT